GATAATAAAGGCGGTCGCTCATATGTATATATATATATAGAGAGAGAGAGAGAGTTATAGGCTTGGTGCGACGCAGACGGCTACTACCTGCGGAATGCAAGCGCCATAAATGTCAAGGCCAGTGAGCTACTAGTTCAATGTTGCCACACAGGCCAATGTTCAATGTCTGGACGTCTACGCATTGACGGATGTGCAATCTGCGACACACCTTGCTGCACTGCCACGCCATAGCCATGTGTATAGTAGATAGATAGATAGATAGATAGATGGATAGATCGATGAATAGGTAGATAGATAGATAGATAGACCGACAGATGGATAGATAGATAGGCTGACGCAGTTCTGTGAACCCTGGAACAATGCTGCATTGAATGAGCTTTGCGTTAAGGATCGCCCATCGGGATTTCGATGCAGCTCAAGCATAAGGCTGCTCAAAACCGACAATAAATTTGCAAGGTAACAATCAGTGCAATTGCAATGCGAAGACATCCATGAGCAGTGTGCTTCCCGTCTACTTTGTCATTGATTTGGGGGGGAGGGGGGTGAACTTGACGAATGCTACATTGCAATTTAAGGAGTGCACAAATGAGGCTCTCTGCCTAAGTTCGACTTTGAAGCACCCTATCTCCCCTTCGTAATGGATCCCAACAATGTGGAGCCCTCTAAGATTGCTATTTGTACGTCTTGTGCCATCATCCTGTGGGGATTTTGAAAGTTCTGAAAGCAAGTGCGTGTTTAGGGCATAGGATGACTCATCACCCTCCCTAGGCCCCAGTGGGGTTGAACGTCCGGGGCTTATAAGGGTTTAGGGTCTGGGGCTTAGCGGTTCGGGGCTACAAGTAAGATTCGGTGATCAGCGTCATGGTCTGGGGCGCAGGTTCTCAAAACTCGGCGTCCGTCTACTCTGAAGACTGCATAGTTTGAGGTTGACTATAAGGCTTTTCCTTGCAAAGTGCCTTTTGCGTGATGCCACAGGCAAATGCAGCGGACATTAAGGGGGTTCTTGCAAGATCTAGAGGTATCGTTCGTGTAGTCCCAGCAATAAGTACTGCAACTATACTGGCCAGTGACGTTAGACTTGTTGGGGATGATGTGTTTAAACCCGAGATCTCAACCAAAGCCGAAATACTGATGCAAAACCAAAACCTGCTTGCTAGACTCTAACCTCCTAAGCCAGACATCCGAAACTTGAAGCGTTCCAAATGTGTCTGAGTGCCTCTGTCTGGTGTGGTTCGGCATCATCCTGCATTTTGATAAAGCTCCAGTCTCGGGTCAGGGGTTTACAGCTGTTAGCAGCTTGCGTTCTTCAGCATTTTCTGGGTCGGGGACTTAGGCGGCCTGCGCGGTGGTCTTTTTAATCTCAACAGCTCTCCGGGAAGGAATTGGCTGCCACCTCTGAAGGTTGGCTTAAACGCTACGTAAACTTAAGAACCCTGACTCCCTGCCGCACTCAAACATCCCGGGTAAACGCTAGACGACATGTACGCACCGAAAGGGCCGGAGGCCTAATCTTTCTTGGAGATATGTATATGAACCTGCTTCGAAAACACAAGCTTGTTTCTTACCCATCATCACGAGCAGCCCTCTGTGGATGCCCTTATAAGCCATAGTACATCTCCTGGCAAACGCCGGCCAGCATAAAAAGTCCCACAATGAGTCCCCTAACTTGCCCGAGACGTATCTAGCCTGAAAATGGGAACTCACTCATCCCTACGCCATCCTTATAACTATGTCCAAGGATCCGCCTACATGAGAGATACAGTATTGCTGCAAATCCTGACGCCAACAGGCTCTGTCCTGCAACGCAAGCCCAGGGTCAAAGCCGTACATCTCCTGCGTTTTGGTAAACTTCTGAGCTGGGAGTAAATGGCGTATGGTCTCGAGTCTGGACTTCAAAGCTGAGCTAAGGAACCAGAGGGGCCAGAAGCCAGAAAATGAAGAAGCAGAACCTGCAATAACCTGCAATGACCTGCAACTTTCCAAGCTGAAAACTTGCCCCGCGCTAGAAAGGCGGAACCTTGCACCAAGCTTGGCAAACGTCATCCAAATCTGCACCTAGTTGGTTCAGAGTTTGGGTGTCAAGGTCTTGAAAAAATCAAAGGCTTTCGTAATCCAAACCCTACAAGAAACACCAAGGCCTGAACATCGACTTTCCAGCTCTTTGGCCCTAGCTAAAATCAAAGCCACGACTCTGGCCTTGTCGTCCCTTGCAGGGAAGTTCATAAAGAACCTCTTTTTGTTATAGCCACATATTACTACTATTGGTGCTGTTATTATGATTGTTACTATTACAATTATTTCTGATCTCATTTTGTTGTCTCATAACCCAAGGAAGGATTGCATCAGGCAACAAAGGGCTGAGCTTGTCAGCGACCTATTAGTGGCTAAGTTGGGTGGGAACCCTGGCGAGGGCAACCCAGTCTAAACATCGAATAGGTGCGGTCCAAGGCAACATTCGCTCATTCAGGTGCGTTTAGGTGGCCCCAAACGCTCGGAAATTCGAACATCAAACATGAACCCTGGAAACCAGTTCCCTTTTCGTTCCCAAGTTGGGTTCTTGCTAGAAAGTTCAGGAACTCAAAGGCATGGCTTGGACAGAAAAACTGGAAAATGGGACAAACAACGACATGTAGCTACCTCAACACTTCAATATCTTGACCCCAACCCCATACCTTGATCCTGGATCCTAAGGCATAACTCTGACCATTGCACGTGTTCGTTTATCATTGACCCTCATTGAAAGACACCTCTTGCTCGCAACCGCTTGGTGACATTTTGGACGTGGAACAGCCATTGGTTCGGAGGCTTTTTTACGAATTATTTGGGGGGTCGTAGTGGAAAGCTTCTGCGGCGATCTTCAACGCAAGATCGCTACATTTTGGATTATCTGGCTCACGTGTACCATGGTGATATTTAAGGCCGATTCTGCATTCATCGACTCAACATGTAAGAGCACACCACTTTACGCCCCAGGCAAGACCCTGAACATTCAACCCCACCCTCCAAACCTTCAGATCTCAGTGCCTGCGAACCGTGCTAGACCCTAAACCCTGAACCCACACACCCTAAGGCAAAAACAGCCTAAAACCTTACACCTCAAACCCGTGAGGCCCTTGACATGAGTCCTCCTTCCTGATCGGTGCCTGCCGGGCTTCTGATTCACAGTGTTGGTTTGTTGCTTGGGGGGTTCAGGTTTTAGGAAGTTGGGTGGTGGAGGGGTCTGGATAGTGCACCAAACACATCGCGTCTTTCGTAAGTGCAGCTTTAGCTACAACTTTCGGGAACTTGGCTTCAAAGTTGCTCCCAAATCCCTCGTCCCTGGTGGAGCCCATGCCTTGGGTTTTGTTGCTTTGATGCACTATGCTTCAAGTCGTCCTGGCATGGCCCAGCATTTCCCAAAGCAGGCTATGGTTTAAGTTCGCAGCTTTATTCACAGGCATGCGTTTTCGAAGACGCATGAGCTTCACATGCAAGGGCCTGTTCCTGGCAATCCTGGCAATCCCATATCCAGTAATTACTTTTCACATTGGTTCTCCATGTTAACGACCCTCCCTGAGAGTCCAACGTCCTAGCTTTAGGAAGAGCAAAGGCCACTGAGGAAAGTTGAAAGTGAGGATGCGGCTGATAATAATCAGTTTGCGGGTTCCCAGGTGACGAGGGGGGTCAGTATAGCGAATATTGAGGGATACTGAGGGATTGGAAGTCTTCATCATGCACTATGTGTTCAGGGTTCTTGTCCGGTTTGTACGAGGGAAATTCTAGAACAAACTCTAAAACATGTTTTATTGCAATCAGGGCCTTGATGCTTAACAAGGCGAGATCCGAGTCAAATTTGGAACTTCCTTGATTTCCGAATTAGACTTGCATTCTCGTTGCTGGTGCAAGGCTGAATTTGATCAGATTAGTGATGGGCCCACTAAACGAATGGCTTCAAGACAGAAAGGACGATGGCGACCAACTCGGCCCGTTGTGTTGCTTGCAAGAAGGACTCGTGCCCCAATGCAAGGGGCGGGTGGGCGTATCGCTCGACCCACCCCTGGAGCCTTACTGAACACAGAACCCTAAGCCAAAAACATCCTGCACCCAAACCCTAATTAGACCCACCGAAGCCATCCTGGCACCTGGCCTCCGACCCTCACGCTTAAATAAACCGCAACCTTGCATTCCGAACCCGCAAGCCTCCTCCAGCGTAGCAAGCGTGTACAGCCTGGTAAAACGTATCGGTAGGATCTTCATAGGATTGATGGCTTGTAGGTGCTCTTTGTGTCAGTTTCATAACTTGCGATGCGGAAGTTGGGCTTTCTCCATCTGGAATTGAAACCTTCGGAATTGTGGTTGCACCTTTTGTAAAGGACCCTTTCAGGCTGAACGGCCTGGGAGAAAGTCTGAGAGCAGTCATTCTGGCTCCTGAATTGCCCGATCATAAACCCTCTCTTGCAACCCTGAACTTATTGGAAAACTAAATGGAAAGCTAAACAACCTGACAAGCTTTGGCACAAAACCATACTCCCCAAACTCCTAAACCCTGAAACCTTAAAGCGGGACATCCTGCGCCACAATAAATCCTCTTCAGGAAACCTTTAAAAAATTAGATTTCCTGCATCACCATTCGCGCCTAAACTACCCGAGCCCAAAGAGCCGAAACCAATAAAACCTGAGACCCTCAAACCTCAAACCACAAGCGAACCCTGAAGACGCCCAACATGCCCAACAGAACTGGCAAAAGCAAAGGGAAAGGCACTGGATGTTTGATCTGTGCCACCTGGACACTGGTGCAAGCAGTGCCACCGAGCGAAAACTGTAGTGCCGGCCGGTGACTTTCGGACACCAAGACGAGCAACAGAACGACCGGCTGACCACATCACTAACTCAGACGCTTTCCCTCTGTCAAGATGTCACTGAACTAATTGGGGTGGGGTCCCTTAATATTTAGCATCGCTATAGTGCTACCGCTACCATCATCACCTTAAGTCTTGGTATGACTCGTCCTAGACTTGATCTTTTCGCGAGCAGTGCCTGGACTGACATGGGGACTCCCAAAAGGCTCTGTCTCACGACAGTCGGACTAGGTGCCCCGACTGGGGGAAGGAGAAGGCCGCCTGCTGTGTTTGGCTGGTTGGTGCATAACGTCTGAAGGACGTGATGATGAATAAATTGTGTGTGTGATCTTCGGGGCTGAGGAAGCAGGGGCATGGGACTTCCAGTATGAGTCAGCCACGAGGCCTCTGTTTGCGGTGCTTCTTCATTGAGGAAGACTGTGACGTGGGATTCTTGCAACTTCCAGATATGGGGGCTTTCAATGTCATCCTTTTGCCTACAATTCACTTCAGACTCCCCTTTGACCGCCTGAAGCTATGGCCTCAATTCCTACATCCCAAGCCCTAACCCCTAGACTCAACACCTAGATCTAGAAAACCTACTAAACTAATGCCGAAGCTCATTGGTCCGGGGAAGAGGCAGCGCTGGCGCTTTGAAATAATTACTGCCCCAGGGCGTAGATTTCCCTGCAAAAAATGAATCTGGAAAACCTAATCCCCTAGATCCCTACAAGAGCAAGCTCCCAAATCATGATCCTCAACCCCTAGTCCGAATCCCTATGCCCTAATACCCAACCCCAAGCGTTACACCCCAATTCAGGGCTTATATGGGGTCTCACTAACAACCCAATCCAGCACTTGTTATACTAAGCACAGGAAGGAATCCACTCGTCATGTCTTTAAGAATGACTCACTAAGGAATCAGACCTGTAGGATTGCACAATCATCCCTATCGTCTCATAAAGGAATACCTATATTCTCCATTACCCCTCACCCCTCTAATGAGAAGTATATTGGCAATTATATTCAAGCTCCGACATTCCATACCCCTATAAACCACTACATAAACCCAAGCTTTCGGGTAATTTTGCTGGGGAAGTAAGATTCACTACACCCTACATATCGCTGTATGAATCTACATTAGCCCTACATTCGCATCCAAATCCTAAACACCCTACACCCTAAACCCTAAATCTTAAACCCTGACCTCTACCGTGAATCTACAAACCCTCAATTTACCCAACCACTCCCCAGCCTCAACCTTGGGCTGCTGCGAAGGCACCGGGATGACCTCCGAGCCGCAAGTTTACTTGGTTGCTGTTCAGGAACTCAAATTAAGTTACCCTTAATGGGTGTGTATATCTATATAGTAAGTAATAGGGTTTCCCCCCCTATATGGTAACTAAATCAATTATTTCCTGAACTGCCCAGTTGAAAGGGGCTCAGGATGGATTTGGAGGGGCCTAAAGGTGATTGTTTGATCTGCACAAAGGGTTCTAGCAGCTTATGGTTGAGGGATCAGTCTTTGGCGTGTGAGGGTTTAGAGTTTAGGGTTGAACCACTTTTCCGGCGGGCAGGATCAGGGTGAGGGGGTTCGGTTCGTGGTTCGTCAGATGTCCTTTGTTGAGGGTATTGGTTAGGAGGACCCCCCACCCTTTACTAGTGGTATAACGTAATGTAAGAGGACCCTACGATATAATCACTGTTGTCCCTTGTAATCAGTACTACAGGGTGGGGGGGTCCACCTAAGGTATTGGTGTCTTAGAAGTATCGGGCTAAAAGTAGGGTCAATTTTCAGGCGCAAGGAATACACGTGCTCCATACATGCCCCTTCTATTGGGCGGTCTTGTTTTTTGGCGCCGCGTTGCAGTTTCATGTTAAGCTCTGGGAGAGCACAAAGGCCCCGCTGAGGGCTTGTAGGAATCTAAAGAACCTTTGTTCCCTATTAGCCAGCAGATTCAAGTAAGAGCCTTCCGAAGCCGTCCGGAGGGTCAAGTGGATGTGGAGAGGCACAGGGTGATGCCTCGAGGTGCTCTGCTATTGATACTGCAGATCCTGCGAGACCGCGAGTAAACAAACATGGGGAGTTCGGGTACTGTAGCATTGCAAGACCATGTGAGATTTGCATGAAACTCGCACCGGCATCGGAAACTCAGAAACTAGCGTGCGTTTGAAATGCTTGTACAAAACACGTTTATCAAAACTATCGGCTGTTGTCTTTCGCATCAACAAATTCTAGACGCCCGCAAAGCCTCAGCCTAAAATCTGAAACCCTGAATCCTATGCCCCGGACACTACCAGACTTTCACCTCCACCCTACACTCTAAACTCGTCGCCGGAATCTTATCCTGGCGTTTGGGTCTCATAGAATCCAGGATGAGGTGTACAACGGGTTGGTGGGACTTGGGCTTGAGACTTTCGAGTTTCTGCTTTTGGTTGAGGCTGTTATACGGCTCAAGGTCTAGAGTCCAGCTGCTCTGCTGGTTCTGCATATCAGCATCATCTCTGTTCACAGGCAAAGTCCGTAGGCATTGTCCCGACAAGCCCTGCGGCAATCACAACTGGATTTTGCTGAGTCACTAGGTGATGAGAGCAGCAGGATTTTGGGCAATACCTAGGACATAGTGTGTAAAGCGACCTCGGATTCCGGCGTTTACTCTGCTGGACATCCAAGCCACACTCTAATCCCACTACATTCCACTTTCTGGACTAAATGGAAACAGTAACCGAAGGCAGCGCAGTAGAACCCGGTGACAGTCTGAGGAACCCGCGAACTTGTAAAGTTCCTGCAAGGTTCAGGAGCAAGGGGACTTCGAGATTCAAGGAGGCACTCTAAGACATCCAGCCCCAAGCGTATCTCAAATTATGTTCTCGGCTTCCTCCAACGCATGCTCCCCTGCGTCCATGGGATGGTGCCTTGAGGTGTTTTGGGGTCCTGCAAGACAATACAACATTGGACTCCCTTAATCTTGGACTTGTTTTTAGCTGCGGACTAGATTTACATGATCGGCCCTGTACTATGCTCCCTGGCACCAGCCGTCAATGACAATACAGATGCTGGGACTTTTCTGGGGGCTACTTTGAGTCTCCTGGGGCATAACTATAGGGATTCATGCATACGTAGCCTGGAAGCTATGACATCCAGCCTTAATTATGAGCCAATCTCAGTTCTGTCCCCAGCTTCCTCGATGTCGTGATCGTCTGTATCGAGGGCGTAGTGCCTTGAAGGGGCGTGCTTTTTTGGTTAAGTCACAGGGTGCTGAAGGCGCAGAGCTAAAGGTGTGCACGTGCTTGCTTGGAGCGCTGCTTAAACTTGCAATCCAAGTTTAGAGCCTGTAGTCCCCCTTGAGTAGATAGAATATGGGGTATATGGCGGTCTTATTGTGTTATACCCAAAAACAATACTCTATCTACTTAAGGGCGACTGTAATCATTAGTACCTACGAGGAGGACCTCTCCCCAATCCAGGACTTATGGGCAACCGAGTAAATATGGAAGCAGCGCTCAACAGTCCCTCATCTCATCTGCTTGGAGGTCTAAGAAATCCTTCCAGACCCGTTGAATTCGAAATGGAAGTAATGCAAGTTTATGGTTTGAATCCTGCAGGGGGCCCCAGCACTGGGAATGCTTCTTAACTTCGATGGAAATGAGCTCGCTCTGATCCTTACACCAGCTCTGCTTGGCAGCATCGGGTCCAGCTGTGCCGCTGGTAAAGTCAGATCACGGCCAACTCCCAGCATTCGCTTGGAACTCTGAGAAGTTCGAATCCTACCATCGGGAACCCAAACTCCAGTAGCTGCCGAATCTCCAAATCATTCCAGCCAAGCTGTAGACTTCTTGCCCACCATCAGCATTCCATCCCAGAAGCAAGAAGAACCTGGCTGTTGCGTACGCCAAATTCAGGCCCACGTGACCAAAATGAAAACAACGTGTTGATGCAAAAAATTGTGCACCACCTTGCCCAAGATCGCAACAAGTGCAGTTTGTCTGGGGACCCTTGGCGGTGCAGGGTTTCCTCCATCCACCGAATCTGCTCAAGAAGCCCCTAAGCCTACACTAGCAGTCGCTAGGTTAATCTCAAGTCCCAGCAAGCTACCGGAGTCTCAGCCCAAAACCTATGCAAGCCTTGAGTCTGCAAAGACACATTATTAGTGGTTGTCAAGATTGCGGTTCCTTTTTGGATCCCTATTCTCATACGGCACCCAATATTTAGGGTACCCAGAAAGGGACCAGAATCTTGACAACCACCCATATGAGGCCCTACAGGTACGACTGCGTTCTCAAGTTCCCATCCTTATTTAATCAGGCAACCCGGACCAAGACAAGCAAGCAGTGTGCTAGAATTCCTTTTTGGGTGACCCTCTCCGCATGCCGAGCAGAAAACCCATGATCCCGGATGCCACTTCTCTTTCCTCCCCAAGTACAAGGTCAAAAAGACTCCAGATTGTGGTGGCTGACTGAGGAGAGGTCTGCATTTCAAGCATAAGAAAGCTACTTCAATCTCAATATGCGATAAAAATCTCCGAAAATCCTGCACAGTCGTAGCCAACGAAAAACGTAAATCTGAACACTGTCTTGGATTCCAAAGCCAGCACCAAAAAGAGTCCATATTGTCCTATCCGAGCGAGGAATGTCTGCGTTCCAGGCATAAACTGGGCATAAACGAGCTAATCATGCTCGGCAATCCAGTTCCACACGATTGCAGTTGCCACCCTCCAGGACCATACACATATCGGAAGGTCCTACACAATCGTCCTGGGGGCGCTTGCAACAATACCCATAACTCGAAGTTACAAGTTACAAATATCAAAGAACCCAAAGCCCCAAGTCCTGAACCTACATGAGCTATAGTCCATATTTCCTACCTAATTTGATGGACATGGGTTCCTGATTAGGGACTAACAAGAGGACCGTAATGTCCACTGTTAAGGGCCCCTGAATAAGGCTAATATTGACAGCAGCTCACATCCTAAGTCCTGAATTGCAACACCAACCCTAAACCGGTCAGCAATCTGACTTCCAATGCTGTGCAAGAGACGATGGGAACTTGGCTTCCTGCGGGTCAAATCGCAGTACATGCATGGGCTTGGCCGGAAAATCCTAACATCATGAAGGGGAGCTCTTGTCGGTAGCGCTAGCACTTGCACATATGGACACGGATCAAGTGATTACTGAAAGCCTCTCACCAAAAACACATGCACAAATGCACGACGTTCGCAACAATCCAGTTGGGACGCTGGTCCCCTCAGTCAGCATATGGGGGATTGTCAAAATTATGGTCCCTTTTTGGGGTCCCTATATTATAATACGGGGCCTAATACG